GTATTTCTCCTGTGAAATCCTGCTATATCCTAGGAGGACACGATATTGTTATTTGGAAATATTGTGACAGAATAGCAGATACTGTGGATTCTCAGTAATGGAAAGACTATGATCGTCATTAATGAATAATTGATCAATTCCTAAAAGAAATAACATTTAATGATAATTCTTGCAAATGTTTGGACGTCGAGTTGATCCAATTAATCGTTGATACTTTTGTTGAAAAGATTATCTTATTTTTATAGAAGTACAATAAATAATTAATTGGGTGCAGCTTCTACAACAACACATTATAACTGCACTTATTAAAAAGTTTCTGCGAAAAAATGCGAAAGAATACAGAAAGATTCTCAGTGATTGATCTAGTCTTGAGCATAGTTAGAAAGGGATGTCGCTATATATATCACACAGCAATATCCCTTTCTAACTGTACTCAAGTAAAGATCAACACTTAGTTATCATTCTGTAATACGGGCCTAAGACTACTGGACCATACTTATTTTGTTACGGACAAAATACGTACGTATACGTTCATTGTTCACCGTATCATCATCATCAGCCTATTAATGTCCCCACTGTCGGGGCACAGGCCTTCCTTTTGGATGGAAAAGGTAGATTGGGCCATGATCCACCACGCGGGCCCAGTGCGGATTGACGGATGCGAACGCAGATGTAGCCGGGACCAACGGCGTAACGCGCCTTCCGAAACACGGAGGAACTCGAGTCACCCATCCAATGACCGACCACTGCGAAAGTTGCTTAAGTTTAACGATCGCAGCCGAACACGCTAACCACCTGCTCCGTCGAGCTCCTCCCTTTACACTAATACTAATCGATTATTCATATTTTACCAATGAGAAAATAAGTATGGTCCGGCATTCTTGGGATACTGTACTATAATAAATCTAATATATAAAATTCTGGTGTCACGGTGTGCGTAATTGAACTACTCCGAAACGGCTCGACCGATTTTTGTGAAGTTTTATATGCATACTAGCTGACCCAGCGAACTTCGTACCGCCCTAAAAAAATAGGGGTTCTCCAGCGGACAAAATTGTGCCGAGTAGAAAATTATCCTGTGGAGTATTTTACTGCGAGGCTTCATTTAATTCGTAAACATCTAAACGAATTTGGATAACATTTGGCAAACATATAGTTATAATTATGTTTTTATATATTTTTTAAGCATTTAACTGCTAGATGTTTAAATCTAAAGCAAAAGTTTACTAGAAAAATCCACGCGGACCAGGCAGCGGACGGGACTCGAACCCGCACCCTTCGCAATCCGGGCGAATGCACTGACCATTATGCTACCACGGCCTTATTCGCCGGGTTGAAATTTTCCTAGCCTTAAGCTGCAAGGCAGCGCCATCTCTTCGCATTGTAGGTAACCCACAATGTCAAATGAATACTTTTTCAAGTATTAAACATTTGAAAGAAGAAATAGCAATTATAGTTATGTTTTTATATATTTTTAAGCATTTAACTGCTGGATGTCTAAATCTAAAGAAAATGTAACTAGAAAAAAATCCATGCGGGCCAGGCAACTATAATTGCTATTTCTTCCTGCAAATGTTCAATACTTGTAAAAGTATTCATTTGACATTGTGGGTTACCTAAAAAGCGAAGAGATGGCGCTGCCTTGCAGCTTAAGGCTAGGAAAATTTCTATTCTATCTATCTACTATAAAGTAATAACTTTATAGTAGATCACTGTGGTATTTCTCCTGTGAAATCCTGCTATATCCTAGGAGGACACGATATTGTTATTTGGAAATATTGTGACAGAATAGCAGATACTGTGGATTCTCAGTAATGGAAAGACTATGATCGTCATTAATGAATAATTGATCAATTCCTAAAAGAAATAACATTTAATGATAATTCTTGCAAATGTTTGGACGTCGAGTTGATCCAATTAATCGTTGATACTTTTGTTGAAAAGATTATCTTATTTTTATAGAAGTACAATAAATAATTAATTGGGTGCAGCTTCTACAACAACACATTATAACTGCACTTATTAAAAAGTTTCTGCGAAAAAATGCGAAAGAATACAGAAAGATTCTCAGTGATTGATCTAGTCTTGAGCATAGTTAGAAAGGGATGTCGCTATATATATCACACAGCAATATCCCTTTCTAACTGTACTCAAGTAAAGATCAACACTTAGTTATCATTCTGTAATACGGGCCTAAGACTACTGGACCATACTTATTTTGTTACGGACAAAATACGTACGTATACGTTCATTGTTCACCGTATCATCATCATCAGCCTATTAATGTCCCCACTGTCGGGGCACAGGCCTTCCTTTTGGATGGAAAAGGTAGATTGGGCCATGATCCACCACGCGGGCCCAGTGCGGATTGACGGATGCGAACGCAGATGTAGCCGGGACCAACGGCGTAACGCGCCTTCCGAAACACGGAGGAACTCGAGTCACCCATCCAATGACCGACCACTGCGAAAGTTGCTTAAGTTTAACGATCGCAGCCGAACACGCTAACCACCTGCTCCGTCGAGCTCCTCCCTTTACACTAATACTAATCGATTATTCATATTTTACCAATGAGAAAATAAGTATGGTCCGGCATTCTTGGGATACTGTACTATAATAAATCTAATATATAAAATTCTGGTGTCACGGTGTGCGTAATTGAACTACTCCGAAACGGCTCGACCGATTTTTGTGAAGTTTTATATGCATACTAGCTGACCCAGCGAACTTCGTACCGCCCTAAAAAAATAGGGGTTCTCCAGCGGACAAAATTGTGAATCTAAACCATTCTCAGATCCCCTTGAACACACACAAAAAATTTCATCAAAATCGGTCCAGTCGTTTAAGAGAAGTTCAGTGACATACACACTCACAGAAGAATTATATATATAAAGATTCAGTATGCATATGGTCTGAGATTCGGACCACATCTATTTTTTATGCCCCTGAATGTTAAGAATTTTTTTTGGACAAAATTTTTTGTTTTTATTTTTTTTATGATACATCATACAAAAATACATACAACTCTAAATTTTCACCCTTCTACCACCAATCCCTATTTTTTTAAAGCGGTACGAAGTTCGCTGGGACAGCCAGTACACTACAATATTACACTTAACGTCCCTAACAATTTAATTTTGTCTCTGATACCATAAATTATGTACACAAAAACGCCTCAGCAAGCGTAAACTCGAGAATTATTACGTCATCTAACTTTTACCGAGGCGAGCCGGACGTATGTGAAAAAAAAAGACTTTCACTATGACAAAGGTAAAGACGAAATGACTCATTTGACCTTACGCTACCAAGCGAAAGTGACGCATAAAGCTAGAATTGTAAGGAAGAAATCTCCAAAACAAGTTGTAATGCTAAAGCTATTACGATAATCAATGGACCAGCACGTTCTAAGACAATGAAGAGGTCAGAGGCTCTTTAAGATGGTACTTTAGTATTGGACTTAGTATCTTGACTAAATGAAACGTTTAGTAAAAGTAAAAGTCATTCTCTTATGCAACAATTTTTATGTAAGCTGCCAAAATATCAATAAGTTTGCGCTGTCCTTTTATAGATTCATTGAGAGTACACAAAACATGAGGCACGGGATCCATTATAGCTATATTTTTATTTTTTAAGCATTTAACTGCTAGATGTTTATATCTAAGAAACAATTTTAGTAGAAAAGATTCCAAGGATCCATTCTAGTTCACGTGTCAACCCACCATAGGCTGGTCAATACTTCCTGTGTTTTTTGTTTTTTTATGATTTTATGTAGCCATTAAGGACTCTTTCGCCACGGGCTTAGCCCTTGTTACAGGAGGGTCGCAGTTCCCATTATGTGGCCATGTAGACAGCCCAACCTAGACACATAGAGAGCACAGCAAGGCGCGGCGACACAACTGGCCCCCTGTCCCTCATCGAAAGCAGAGACTGCACCGGTATTCATTATACGGGTAGCGTATTCCCTTATACCTCTTTTACATGCACTTAAATATTTAACAGCGCAATGGAATGGCCTAAAATACTTCCTCGCGCACTCCACCAGCCCATCCGGAGCTTTCCGTTCCGGGCTATCTCTTTCACCACGCCTATTGGGCACCTCACTGTCTTGGCCCCAGTACCGTTAGCTCCAGAGCGGACTTAAAGATATCTAGGTCTAACTATTACTAAGTAGTTTTAATACAGTTAAGGGCCAACACATTTAATTTTTCCACTTTTTAGATTATTTTTGGGGCGCGGGTATTACAATTTCCGATTAAAATTTTTATAATTTATTCCCTCAATCGTTTCGAGTCCCACACACCTCTGTCCTCTCTCCGGTGCTTTGGAAGTTAATTTTAACTTTCCGAAATATGTGCCGGGGTACCCCCCCGGCACATATTATCTGGTTTAAATGGGTAAAGGCCTGCTCATTTGGTTGAGCTCGGGAGCTAGATGAGATAAGCAGGAAGGAATCCCCAGATACCCTCGTCGCCTTATTCCCGGTAGGCAAGGACGGCGTCAGTCCTTTTTCCGACAAAAAAATAAACGTACTTATATACACAATACAAATAGTTCAGGAATCATCTATTGACAACAAGGAGATTCTTAAAGGGTTCCTTTTGAGGTGCGACACTCATAAAAGCAATATAGTTCAGAACCATTAGGCAGTCAACAATTTTTTTTTTACATCTTATAACGATACACCGAATAAATGCGCGCAGTTCTTTGATTTGATCTATTGCATGTATTACGTACCATACATGAGATAATTGCGGGTTCTATCGGACAATCTCCTTTGTGTTCAACTGAAAATTATGCAATGTTCTGTAACAGTACGAAAACAAGAGATGGCACGATAGATATCTTGCAAATTATCTACATCGAATTTTCACCCCATTGTTGGGCCAGACGTGGGAATAGCCCGTGACGGTGCCTCCTCGCCAAAACAATGGCAAAGTTCAGCGAGACATAACCAGGAAAGTCTATAAAACTGCTTGCGACCTGTTACACTTTTGTTATACGTTACATTTGCTTATTGTCAAATGGTTGTGTCAAATTTTTTTTATTTTGTGAGACGGTTCTAGTTCCTTGTTGAGTGCAGTTGCGTAAACATTCATTTCTTCAATCATAATGTCACAGTTCTCTAAGTTGTTGCTGATAATTGCTGCTGTTAATATCATAGAAGTTATACCTATACAGTTACAAGAAGGAGAGGAATTGAAACAGAATGATATAGAAGAATCACAACTGAACGAATGTTTGTCAGTTAGAAGAGGTTCTGAAGTCGGTGTATGCTTCGGAAAAGAGATACTGCACAAACTCACCAAGTTCAATGAAGACGATTCTTTTAGTCTGGCTAACGGTGTCTCATTTGTCAGAGATGAGAAAACACCAAGAGATATTGAAGGATTCCTCGACAGAGATCCTATGGATTTTCGGTACTAACATATATATTTAGCAAGGCATAACTCGATAACATAGATAGCGTTCATTAGCAATCCAGTGTCCCATTACATACAAGTGGCATGTAAGATTAAATTAAAACGCCCCCGAATTTACGACTTTGTGATTAAACATACTTGCACTAGCGGCCGCCTGCGACTTCATCTGCCTGTTTTGCCCCTTTAGGGGGTCAGTTTAGGAATATCCTTTCTTAGAATGCGTCTACATGATAGTAGTTAAATGTGTGCCATATTTCAGGTCAAACCATTCAGTGGTTGAGCTGTGCATTAATAGATCAGTCATTCAATATATAAAGATTAAATCTTATAAAGTAAATGGAAATTTAGAATCTTATGGTAATTAAAAAAGTCTAATTGTCCTCTTTTAATTATTAATTCGCTTTCTTAATTGCATGCCCAGGTCAAAATTTTCCAGTTTCTCCAAATTTACAGAGGAGCTGGGACGACATAAATTGTAAATTAACTTATAATAACCTTTTGAGCTGCAGTACAGGTTCGGCGCGTGCTAGGCTTTTGGCCGTGGGTACGCATGAGGCCGGCTACTGGCTTCACGCGTACCCAACACAACGTACAAATACAGGCACATTTCTTGAGCCTGACACACTCCGAATGGCAACCTGTCTACGGCTTGGGGTCCCGGTCTGCGCTCCTCATAAGTGTCCCTGTGGCAGTGATGTCGACAAGCTAGGACATCATGGACTGTCTTGCCAAAAAAGTGCAGGCCGCTTCTCGAGACACGCCGCACTTAACGATATCATACGCCGGTCCCTTGCCACCGTCAACGTGCCAAGTCTACTTGAGCCAACTGGTATTGCAAGAGACGATGGCAAGAGACCGGACTATGATTTTGTCCCATTCGGTGTCGAGACCCTTGGTCCGTGAGGTCCTAGCGCTATAAGGCTTTTTAAAGAAATAGCGAAAAGATTAGTCGACATCACAGGAGACCGAAGAGCTGGCAGCTACCTCGGACAAAGAATTAGTCTAGCTATCCAAAGGGGGAACGCTGCCAGTATCTTCGGAACCTTGCCTAAAGAGACTCCTTTTAATAATGTATTTTAGTTATTATATTTTATTTTTTAAGGTTTTTAGTTTTAGGTTCATTGTTATAGCATATTTTTTGTTTTAATTATTCTTAAATTTATTCATATTCCACCATATAGTCTACGATATTAATATTTCTATTATTAACATAATAAATATTGATATGTACATCAATAAGTATTATGTTATTATTTAAAAGTTGACAAAGAATCACCTTTTTGGATGAGAGACAATACCCATTAATCTCTCCGAACAGGTTTAACAATATTCGAATTCCATATTAATGATGAGCTACATATTGACTAACACTCATCATCGAAATTTTCAAATTGACTTGTATGCTTAATACCAGTTCTCAACTTTCTCATGTCAAACAATTTCTCCTCAAATATAGCACGATGATGGAGGATGCCGGCAACCTGATCTCAAAGAGGTCACTGCACTGGGATTTGAGTACGTTGTACCCGGGACTAGTGATGAGAATTGGTCCAACATTGGCCAATGGGGTACTGGAGTTTGTGATGGATCCTAGGATAAAGGATAGAACTTACCACCAACAGCCGCATACAGAAATGTCTACAGGTACCTTTTATGGAAATAATCCTACTGATATAATAAGCAACTATTAAACAAAAGTGTTAAAAAGAAAGTCATCTAAAAACTAGGTTTTCAAATTTTAGTGTCAAATAATTTCACATAAATTTAATTTATTAGTAGCGTTCTCCATTTTATCGCCATCTCTACTACAAGTTACGAACTAAAGTGATATTACGTAGCACAGCACATTCAAGGCTGGTAAAGCAATGAACTTGAAACGCAGTGGTGTCATCTGGCGGAAAGCCTTGAAATTCTATTAAACTTTATGAAGTGCCTCTTGGTGCTTTTAATAAACGCTGTGAACTAATTTTACACAGGCAGAGCTTTCAAGTCTCAAAAAATAAATATTTTATTTATTTGTTTTATTGTTAACTAGTACATTTGGCAAACATTGTCCTGCCTCACAAAACATAAACAATAAATTATACTGACTGCAGGGCCACCTTTAGGGTAGAATTATAAGAGAAGTTACATTTTCTTAAATGTATACTATCTGCGTAGCTTTCTTATTTTTTTCGGAAGAACATTCTACAGAGTTTTACACTACTTAGGAAAAAAAATATAAAGTCGTCATCGTGTTATGGCATGACCAAGGCTTATTTATTTTAATATAAACATTTAAATTTGTTCTTAAATATGTAAAAATAGCTATGAAAATCGTGCTTAATTTTTTGACTTATACGAACAATCAACATTCTAAGGGACGCACTTGGAGTCGTACAATGGAATTGATCCTTGTCAATTTAAGGTTATAAGTCGATTCATGTCAATCTTTAAATTCAATTGAGTGCTGAGTGCTTCTGTTAAAATTAACCATTTTGTTTTCAGGGCGCCTTTTAGCAAGGAATCTTCTTGTACCATTCCTACTTGGATTCAAATTTCAACTTTCTACATTATTGCCGTTGGTGTTAGGACTGCTTTTGCTTGCGAGTAAAAAAGCATTTGTACTCGCAAAATTGGCTCTGCTGGCAGTGACAGTATTCAGCGGTGGTTCAAGTTTAGGCAGCTATGGCAGCTCTTATGGCGGTTTCAGTGGACCATCTCTTTCTTCTTACACGAGCTATGATTCTCCACATCATCATGATCATCACGATCATCATTCTTCAGGTATTTTAAAATAAGAACATAGAATACTTTACCTGTTGAGCTCAATGGTGCAGTGGTTACGACTGCGATCGTTTCGCCGGCCGGTCGGTCATAGGATGGGCGATCAAAAAGTTATTATCTCAAGCTCCACCGTTACATATTAAAACGACAGTCCTTGCTGCATCTGTTTATACTAGCATCCACCAATTCTCACTGGGCTGACGGTCATTGCTCCAATATTCTCCCTTTGCACCCATAGAGAAGGCCTCTGCTCCAGCAATGAGGTCATTAGTGCCTATTAATACCGGATATAATAGGATGTGCCAAATGATAACTATTTCATGCAGCTGGTATAAGTCACTTTAAGGAAAATAATTTAATAATAAGTATAACAAAAATAATTTCCTTACTCCTGTATATTTTACCAGATTAGAGTTACGCATTCTGATAAAATAAAATTGATGATATTCAAAATGTAGTTTATGATTATTACCAAAAACTATTTGAATTTACTGAAACCAATTGGTAATATGTTTATTATATAAGACATTTAAGGTAACCGTTCACCAATTAAATATTTTTACATTTAAAACGAGTTTCTTCACGCTGTTTATAACTAATGGCCATCTAGCAATTTTAGGGTTAAAAAAACTATGGGTATTACCAAAACAGAAAGATATATGTAATATTGATTGGACTTTACAACTACTGACAGTAGAACCGACTCAATCCAAAAATCTGTTATGAGCTCATTTAAAAAGTATTCTCAAATGTAGAAAGTCAATGAATAGAATCAAAGCAAATTAAATTCTCCTTAATGACTTAAACTGAAATGGACGTAGTAAAATACTGAGATAACTTTAATATTGTTTCATCACAATGAATTTTCAATTGATACTTGACAATTTAATTCTTAGTATTTATTATATTTCTTAATTATATGTTCTAGTACTTACACCAGGAAATAAAGAGAGATTGCACATACACACTATAAAATTAATCATAAACTTTGTTAATTTCTAGTTCTCACGCTCTAAATTTCACTGTCGAAAATGCTCCATTCTGAAAGCAATTAAAAAGCTGTTTATATCGCCTCTTTGCTTGCGCTTCTACTTAATGGAAAGCTCGTAACTATCCGCATCTATTGTTTCAAAAACTCTATTCCCTCAATTATTATATTCAAATTCCGCTTTATCAATTTCAACTTTAATGGTTTCGGAGACATTTGCAACTTTTGCAGGGGATGGTCAAATCACCTCATGCAAGTGCACTATCACAAGTCCATCCAATTTTGGAACGAACTTCTATGGATCATAATTAGCAAAGTAGAAAATGATTTCTATAACAGGCAAGTGAATAGTAACGTTGTGATACTCATTATTGTATTACTTATCAATGATGGTGTTAAGTGATATTATTTAAAAATAAGTTAAACTTCAACTAAAATTGTGTGAGGTTCAGCCATAATGATTTCTTGTCTTTAGGCACGAAAAACATTGATACTTTGTAATGTTTGCGAAGTATGGCTATTATTATAGCCATGCATTATAATAAATAATGTGATATAATGACTGAGGCTATATATAAATATAAGTCTGTAGAGAACATTGATGGATTTTGTCCAAAAGGAGCATTCTCTTGAGTAATAATCTACAGTATATCTAACTTCGACAATCATTACTAAAAAATAAAGATGTTTAATGCCTCGTAATATTTTGCAGGTTATTATCACAGAAGACCACATCATGCTGAATATTATTATAGAGAGAAATCTTCTGAGCAGCAGTCGACTGCCACGCCAATTACTCCAGATGAGCTAAGAGACAGATTAGAAAGGTTATTTGTAACCAAAAAGGAAATAAATGATCCTGTTGACGACGGTAAAATCAGAAACGCTCGGAATTTCGCATGGACTCCGATAAATACCGGTTAATCTTTTCTTTAATATTATCTAAAACAAATATCAACACAAAACGCTGTCTTAAATAGGGTTCTATCACATGATATTTTGTAGTAGCACATGCTACTACAAAGAAAACGTCATATCATTAACGTTTTGTAGTTAACCATAAAAGAGCGGCAATTTTAAAGTCATTTTCTATTTTAGCACTTATTTAGTTATTTATTTGACTGCCACCTTCTATAAATTAAAAGTTATTTCCTGAAACGGGTGCTTCTATTTAAAGTAGGCATAACCGTAATCCCTATTTTTCTTTAACCTTACTTAACTATGACAAATTTGTTGAATTGTATCTTTGACTTACTAACTAAATGAGTTATTACTAAATTATTATAGATATAGACGCATGATACGCTTGCAGTCAAAGGCCTATACAGAGAAAATAATATTTACAAGGAATATGGATTATCAGATTTTTCTAAATATGTATTATATTCAAAATGAGTTTTGTATTTTATTTAACGTATCTGTAATACGTCTAAATCACCAGTAGTTATGTATTGTCTGATTCATTTGATTATTTATTCTGAAATATTGTTACCATAATTATTTACCTACTATTTTTCATTATTGTGATTGAACTAAGAAATTTTACTTGGACGTTATTTCTTCTAGTCAAACTATAATTTCTTTTCATTGAGCACAAACTTGCCTTTTGTTTTTATATATACTGCATGCACCAACATCTTCATGAAAACAAATTAAATTAAATTAAAACAAGGTGTTGTTTTATTTTTAAAGCTAATAATTTAACAACCGAAACTTTTCAATAAAATTATAAATATGGTATCCTAACAGCAGCTCCGACAGCAGATGCAGCAAGAACCAAAGACCTAGCGTACTTTGGAGGATCCAAATCCTTGATACTTCTTCAAGAGATATTCGATTTTTTGTCATCCATCACAATATGAAGTCAATTAAGAAAGTTTTTTAACTGCCACATAACACTGCCCTATCAAAAGACGATAGTAACAGAAGTACAAATGTAACACAGCATGTAACATGATGTTAACTCAATCGCCTACATCAAGCTGTTTAAAAGTGAAGATCGTAATGAGTCTTTCATCGATAGAGTTAAGTGTTCTACGCTGATAATGTTTTCACATGTCCCCATTGCAACTGCATCCTGCATTGTCTATACGATTACATGCTCTGATTATTTCGAAACTGCACTCACTTAGTTCTTACTGGCCAACTGGAAGTGTTTCCGTTTCAGAACAGGGCGAAAGTATATTGCACACGAATGGTCCGACTTCTTTCTGGATATTTTTCACCAAAAAGTGTCTAATTAGGGAACAATCACTCGTTATTTACAACTCAAGACAGAATAATGTTGTACAGGGCATTGCATTAAAATATCAACGATAGTACAATATTTGTTCTTCATTATGAGTCAACTTAGTTACCAAATTTGACTAAATTCGTTCTTCCGTACCGATATTTGTTACGGTTCCAAACACAGTTCCAACCTATGACGCTTTGGTTATGGCAACCTTAACTGAATGTCAATGGTAAAATCAAGTCAAAGAAAAATTGCGATTTCTATAATAGGTAATAATAATACAATTACCCCGCCCGCGGTCAGGGAATGATGGACTGCGAAAAAAATACATGAAAATTGGCACTCATACCAAGTCTTTCTTTTGCTTATCCATGTAGCCCTGAATTAGCTTACACTCCACAAGGTATAATTTTAAAATTGTGTATATGGTATGGCAGATAACTTTAGTATTTGGGTGGATAATCATATTTTTTTAAACCTTTGATTTCTGATGGTTTGATATACTCTTTATTATTACACTAGCCGGGGCTTGCAGATTTATACAACATTAAAAGGGAAACAATTCTATTTTTGGCAACATTTTTCATTGATTCAGCGCTCCTATTGGTTGAAAGTTATTATACATATAAGTATATTGGTTATATTGTACAGCCTATAGCCTTCCTTGATAAAAAAATACATCTAAAATAGATTTGCTTTGGAACACACTTTTATTAGTACTTTTTTTTTGGAAACTAATTGTTAGGTTAAAATGTTGTGTAAAGTATATACACGCATATAATATTCATAATCTTTGTGAATAATAAAATCAACAACATACTATAAATAATATTTAATTACTCGTAATGGATCATTTATTACTGAGAAATGAAGTTTTAAGAATATAATTTTATTATGATAACGATAAAATTTATCAAAGCAATTGACGTATTGCAAACATTACAGATTCTTCAGATATATACTGCGGTTTTGGTCTGCTACAAATACACCTTTGGAGTCTATAACGTGGTACGGGTCCGGGTCAGAGTCACCTAAAACATCGAAAAAATCTTTTTTTCTTCAAATTTCCTGAATCCGAATTTGACATCAAAAATTTGAAATTTCTAAAGTCCAGAGGTGGTGAAAAGGGGCCAGGGTCACGTAAAACATCGAAAACATTTTTTTTATTTTTTGCCTCCATCCGTATTTGATATCAAATCCAATTTTTGATTTTTCAGAGATCCAGAGATTGTGAGGGGGAGTCATGGTCACCTAAAAATCAAAAAAAGAAACTAAGTATTCGTAATTTTAATTTTTCTCACATGTTAAGATATCGAACACTCCGGATTCGCACGACAGTAGCTAATTCATGGTTTTTATATGTTAATGTTTAATTAATATTTTAAGAAATTTTATTTCACGATTTAACGCGTACACATGCTATTGCTAAAAAGAGTTTCTACCAACAGTTCGCAGTTACAGATAGATCTAAACGATTGAATTAGACATTTCATTACCAGGCATAACCATCTAGTGCTTCTTAGAAAAACTTTCATCATTTTTTCTTCAAATACGATCGCCTGCAATTCGAATTACGTTGCGTGCTTCACCATCGCTAACTGCAACATATGTTACGTGTCGTGGTCTTTTCTCTTCAATAATTTGCTCTTCATCGAAATCAGATTGAGTAGCGGTCTCGTCTTGCTCCAACTCTTCGGCATCTAGTTCTAATTGGGCATAAACGGATTCATTACTGTTAATACTCTAATAAATAGGTCTTACTGTTATTTAGGTGATCTAGTTACTATCAAGTATAAAAGTGGTAGCTCTACTTTATTGATTTTAAATAACAAATTTTATTTTTGCGTAAATTCGTATTACGCGACAAGTTCGAGTCAATTTAGAAAATAAAGTAGGTAAATTCAATCATCAGGAAGATGCATATATGCATTTTTCCCCAAAATTCACTACGGAAAACGCACTCTTTTCTTACACAATAATTCAAAAAATCTAAACTATTTTAAATGAAATCGTCACTGATTTACATGCAACAACTTTGTTTTCCAATAAACCACTACTTCAACACGAGATATGTTTTTATTTCAAATTATGCAGCAAAATTTACATTGAATGATGCAAAAACTACGAAACGTTGTGCATAATAACTGTTACATCGGCCTTGATCGTGAACTAGCTACTGAGCGTTTATCTTATACCATATCTGTATTAGAGTATAAAATTGTTATATTTATATTGTTTCATCCCACAATACATCACCCAATGTTGGACGATCTAAACGATGACCTGTAAGTAGGTCAATGCCAACCACTGGTCGTTTCCTGAACCAGTTTCCAACGATCTTCGAAGATTTAATGCGTTTTTTTACGTAAGATTACTACTCAAGTGAAAGCTCTCATTAAAGAAACCTTTTTTGAAGACGCTATAAGTATTAAGTGACTTTATATTAGTGGTATACGGGGTCCTTAGACCGATTATCAATGTAAAGGGGTTGAAAGAAATTAAAAACTAATTTGCTTCTATCTCTCATTTTATTACGTTTCCTGACATGCCTCAATTTCAAACGCAAAATAAAACAAGTTGCTATTCTTTTCATCAATTCTCTTTGATCCTTCCATTATGTTCAATGTTTCATTATCATTATGCCGTTATCAAGCTATAATTGTTATTCTATAATCATAGTTATGTTTAGTTACACAATATTATTTTGTAAATAATATAAATATTCATATAAAAGGTACTCGCGTAACCACCTTGTCGATCGTCGACAATAAATATATGGAAAAGTTAACTATAGTGATTATCATGACATAAATAATTATGCTACTTAAACTAGAAAGCACCCTCAAATTTTACTGTAGTAAAACAACCTTAAATGTAATCTTATGCTATTTTTACAAAATTGGACAAACAAATTATAGGTAGAAATGCATAGTACCCGTCGACTAGCCTAAATTAAACCTACTAACATAAATTAGCTACAAAACTTATAAAAACAATCAATACATCAACATTATATTAGGTGCAAATGATAATAAATAATTAATTTGCTAATTCAACTAAACAATCGCGTATGCATCAATATAATGTCAATTCGCTCTTATTTACATTTGGCTAATACAATTTTGTTTAATATTTGATAATATGATAATAAATACCGTTAAATAATTTGATTAAATAATTGCAACAAGTTTATAAATAATTTTAAAAATAACAACCTAGTGAGTAATGTTTAAACTAGTATCGTTGGAATAAGCACTATAATGTAATGTTATACAGTCATAAATTTTTTGTTCCTATTTGCTCTTGCAAAAGGGTCAAACAATCAGTTCGGTGCAAGCTAATGACCGATTCGTTGTTGTAATCATTTTGTAAGGAGTCGTAATCTGTTGTGCATCTACTGTTTTACGGCGTATGCCCTGTATGCCCTGTCCTGAGCAGCTGCTTCATCTTCAACGCTCCTTCTGTAGTGACCACCAGGTCCTGTCGCATCAAAGTCGCCACCATAGTGAGACGATGAGTAAGTGTGGCTCTGTGACACTTGAGGATGTTTCACGATCTCGTAAGTCGTCTTCTCATGAGCCTCACCCCCTGTAACCAGTTTCTTCAGCCCGATGATAGCAGACAGCAGCAGAGCAATCTTACCGATAAGCAGCGCCTTTCCAGCGATCAGTGCGATGGCCTGGAACGCGATCGCGAGGAAACCTCCTTTGATCGCAACGCCCGCCATTATCGGCCCAATCATCTTCTTCAGCTTGCCCCTGGCTTCGTTGAACGATCGACCCACATCTTCGCCTATACTTATCGGAGATATCACCACACGATGGGTCTGTAGCAACTTAGCCGTAGCTAGATGCAAGTACTTGTCAACTTGTTCCGAAGGCAGAGCGTTGATGTCTCCGTCGATAACCGAAGATGGGAACGACTTCCCCGTTTCCGCGTTCCTTACCAAAGCCACTCCTTCCATCACTGGGAGGTTCTCCATGCGAGCGGTTCGGTCGATGAACTTCGTTGCTTGAACCTTCAAACACTTGATGAATTCCTGGGACCGCTCACAGGAGTCATACATCCTCTTCAGGAGCTTCAAGTTAACCCCCAAATCGGCGGAGGCCAAGGCCACACTCAAGCACAACAGGACAAAAGTTCCGCGGCACTGCATTCTGTTTCCAACCCGCGGTTGCCCCGTATGAAAACAATCTGGACCAGTGTCCAGTCAGTGCGGTTGCGTCTATTGAAATGTGTAGAAAATGTATGAGCACTGGCATTTATCTATTTTCACCGGGAACTGCATTTATCTATAAATCTTTTAGAGCGTGCAATCGTTGCATCGTAAGGCTGGGCACTGAGGCGTGTATGTGCAGGCGCCGTTTGTGACTGTGTGGGTATCGATACGTGTGTGGAGAAGACTCATCGTTGCTGACGATGCGGATTATATGGTCAATGTCAAGGTTGTTGTACTGAATTTGGTACTTTTCAATAGTTTCTATAAAGATAAATTAACTCGACAAACATACTGTTGCCTAGTATATATAAATTAATGTTTAACTGACATATATCGTACCTACATGAATATGCATCGTATGCTTTGTACATCGTCGTGAAAAATAAAAATACGAGATGTTCACTTAATATTAAATTAAGATTAATGGTCACTTAGCTTCACAAGCTTCGTTTGATTGGGTCTAAACTTCTAATTAGCAAACTGGTAAGCCAGTTTTTATAATTAATTTATAATTGCTTCTGCTTTTTATTGAATAATCTAAAATAAAAAATACAGATACTAAGATAAATATAAAAAATACAGATACTAAGAAACATACACACAGCGTCTTTCCCACTGAAATAAGCCCGACGGGATAACTCACCAGGGAAGGCAAACTCCAATATAAAAAGACTGCACATAAATAACACAATTTTAGTATTGTGTTGCTGCAGTGAATATGGTTTCTTGTTCTTGGGTCTATAGGACAAGGGATAAAGTCAAAGTGGGCAAAGCGCGTATGGTAGACTCTGGTATTATAAATCTATAGGCTATGGTGAAATTTTCCATATACCTGTTGTCTTGCAAAATTAAAGACTGGGCCGATGACTTGATTCAAAGTTTTGCACAATAGTTTGACGGAATAGGGAGATTTCACCATTATATGGTGGTATATAAATATTTTTTATTTAGTTCCAACCGTGTGATTTAGGGCTTCGTTTCGTTGTTTTTGACGACTTTTGTGATAGAGTATTTGTACGTACATCGTGTTTAAAAGTGTCGTCTACTATGAAGTCCTAGATTTGAATCTCTTCAGGAGCTAATGTTTGTATAATGAATACGAGCATTCATACCTTAATTATGGCTGTTTATATATATATATGCCTTGGTATGTGTGTGTGTACGTTTTCTTCTTCAAGTCTTATTTTTTCTTTGTTTATATATATTTGATACATTAAAATTCAAATTTATAAGCACTTAAATTTGATAAAGTTATAATACTTCAATTAGTGATATTCAAATAAAGATTTTTTTTCATACTGCTTTCAAAAATTATTTTATGTAACGGTGGAAAAGCGGACATTTCTTTAATGTCTGATTTCGTTAGACTGACCACGGCACATTACGGCACGTGTAATCTGCTCTCGATAACACCGCAATCGGTAAATTAGTAGGTTGAATATAAGTTGTCCTGGACTTGTATATAAACGATTTTCAAGTATCCAGTGCATATACGCAAGACAGCTATTCAACGAGGGTCTTTAATCTTTATAAAAAATCATGTAAAATGTGAGGAAAGATATGATATTTTTAAAATTTCAGTGGAACGCCATATTTAACTGTCGTGTTAGGCCAAGAGGCCGATTGCGCTAAGTATCAATGAAATTTAAGTTCAATAACCTTAGTTCGAACCAATATCGAATTCGAAACGTTTGCGAGTCTGAAATATCATTGTTAAATGTGTACTGAATTTTAGTTCTCGTTAGTACTTTGTGGCGCTGTTTTTCGAGTTTCCATACAAAATTTGACAATGACATTTCGCACTCGCAAACTATTCGAATTCAGTAATGGTTCATGCCAGGGTTAATGTCACTCATTGTGTTTACGATCTAGAGACCAGTTACATATGGACAGACAAACATTCCAGAGTGACAGAAATAGGGTTTCGTTTTTCATGTGTCATATGAGAAAAATACCCGTTAATTGCGACTCGTAGAACTGAACGAATAAAAAATGTCGTTCTATCTTACTAATAGAAATTAACGGAGAAAAAATCTTAAACTCCGTGTAGTTCTACGATGACTTCCACTAATAGGACTACGGACATCAGTAAAATTGGTGTATTTTTGTGGAATGTCTAAGAACAACTAATTATGTGGAAGGATGACATTTGTACTTTAATAATGATTGTAAAATTTGTCTTTAACACAACTTACTTATTCTTTAGGAGTTATTTTGCCCAGAAATGCTATAAAGAATCACAAAATTTTAACGCACGGAACCATAGCTGATTCAATGTGGATCCGCGCGTGAATTTTAAGCTATTGCATAGATTTTATCGCGGGCTTTGAGCGCGGCGACCGAATCAAGAAATTCCGTAACGAAAATAACCCGACAAGAGTGCATATGAACACAATTTTCGCCTTTCCAGTATCGATCGAAACGGCGCAGTGTGTTAAATTTTTGCCACAGGACCAACGTTCGACGCATCACCGTGGTCGTCGGTTCAAATCCCGCACTCGTATTTTAATTTTTTAGACTCCAGCACCTTTTCTTATTTTTATTTGTCTCCTTTTTATTTAGACTTTATAATTATAATTTAAATTTTTGGACTAAAGATGGTAAACTGTGGAGCTTGTGGAAGTTATTTGCCAACGGGCAATGCTGTTGTTTGCTGTGCTTGCCCAATAAAATATCAAAAGGCCTGCATCGCCATCTATTAATATCAAAGAAAAAACTTGAATTAATGTAGAAGAAGAAAAAAACTGAATAAATAAGTATAATTGCATAAGTTGATAAATAATGCTATGCAATAGCTTTACCGCGGCTGTCCCCGAGTGCCACACATATTTTTTTTTATTTAGACGAACTCGTAGAACTAAACATCAGAACAAAAAGGATACAATCCAACTTTTACCCTTTGCCTACAGAACCCCTAAAAAAAATCACAATGAAGTAGATAACAATGTGTAAGAGTGTGATTTAATATTTTCTGTTGTATGTTTGTCTGTCTATATTATTATGTCTTCAATTACATGCAACAATGACCGTTACAAGTAAATTACACATTAAAACGCAAAATAATCTGTTTACAGGCGTAACTATGACAATCGATACACTTATTTTCTTTTACTCTACGAATATAGCTTTTATTGCAACGTGGTAAAGGTGCTGGTACAAAACTGAGTACTCTAGGTATTTGTAGTGAATACTTTCAATATGCTATAGTGTTGCCTAAAGTCACTGAACAGTCAATAACGCTTTCATAAAAACGAAGTCATTGGTTTATAAAATTTAAAATTGATACTTCTGTAAGTATAGTTTCATGTACTCATATGATTACACAGTGAGAAATCACATTAATTATCTACTTAACTAATTAGTTTATTCCTAGTCGGTTTATTTCAGCTTTGGCTACTAGCTACCATATGAATAAATAAATAATAAATATTTCCAACACTCACACCAATTAGCCTAGCCCCAAAGTAAGCACTGTAAGGCTTGTGTTATGGGGTGCTAGGGTAACGGATAGAATACATATACTGTACATATATAAGTATATTTATATAAAAATACGTATTAAACATCCATGACTGGAGTACAAATGCTCGTATTCATCACACAAACATCTGCCCCCACCGGGATTTCAACCCGGGACCTCTCGAGTCGGCGACACCATGAAACCCGGCGTACAAACCACTCGACCACGGAGGTCGTTATTCTCCAATCATAGACTGTAACTATTTGATATGGCCAGATACAGTTGAAATATTTTAGGTTTATTTCAATTTTATCCTGAAAAGTATATTCTTAAAGTGTTAAGTAAATAAGTAACTTACTTTTCAATAGCCACTCCTGAAAACAGCTCCGGGCGGGACAACAGAAGAAGAAGGTATTCTTCTTCTGTTGTCCCGCCCGGAGCTGCGTAGCAGGCTGCCACGGCAACGATCAAAAAGATGCACATCACAAGTAATATAAATATTCCTGATACAAAGTAAGCACTATGAGTATTGTGTTATGGGATACTAGGGTAACAAATACATAGCCCCCATCTTATAGTTCTGTCCTGCAAAGAGGGGGGAGGCGGAGGGAGCTACACGGGCACGCCCAAGTAGTCCTCCGCAGCGGACGGCGGGCGGTACGGTGGGCACTTGACCGCGTATTCAGCCCCCACGCGCGGGCCATCCTGCGCACGTCTGCGGGGTCCCCGCAATACCTCGGGAGACCCCTGCCGTGGAGCCCCGGATAGGCCGGGAGGCTGCTGAGTGCGGAGACGACGGGGATCCCGCGGTTTCGCACTAAGCAGCTTAGAGGGTTTTTGCAGGGTTTTTAGGGGATATTATTCCGTAAAGCGCCCGTAAGAGTTACGGGGTCCTCAGTGGGCAGTCATAGTGGGGGCTCGTAAGATTTGCGGGAGCCAGGTTTGAGGTCAGTTCGGCGGTGTGCCCCTTAAAGGCGCCGTCGTCTGTAAACAGAGTTTTTGCCTGCGTCACAAAAAAAGGGTAACAAATACATAATATAATATCATAAACCCTGAGGAGCTCGATGGCGCAACTGGTTAGCGCGTTCGGCTGCGATCGTAGAAGTTAAGCAACTTTCGCAGTGGTCGGTCATTGGATGGGTGACCAAAAATTTACTATCTCGAGCTCCTCCGTGCTTCGGAAGGCACGTTAAGCCGTTGGTCCCAGTTGCATCTGCAGTCGTTAGCACTGTAAGGCTTGTGTTATACGATACTAGGGTAACGGATAGAATACATATATTGTACATATATAAGTATATTCATATAGAAATACATATTATACATCCATGACTGGAGTACAAATGCTCGTATTCATCACACAAACATCTGCCCCCCACCGGGATTCGAACCCGGGACTTCTCGAATCGGCGACACCATGAAACCCGGCGTACAAACCACTTGGCCACGGAGGTCATCAAAAAATTCAATCCTACCCAGATTTAAAGCTGGAATCAAAGTGCCATCATCATCATCATCATCGTGCATGGATTGAATTCGAGTTT